AGCTTACTTTTTCACATAATATATTGTGGAATTCTTTGGAGGTTAACATTTAAATCTCCTTCATAGCAGATAACATTTGCATAGTATTCTGCTGAATGAATGAGTGCATCATAATTTATTTGTTCAGTCCTCTATTGATAGACACTTTGGTTGTCTCTCTTTCCTCCTCCCTCCCTTAGTCTCCTTCCTTCCCTCCTTTCTTTCTCTTTCTCTTTCTGCCTCTCTTTCTCCCTTCCTTCCTTCCTTTCTCTTCATTTCTCTCTCTGTCTCTATTTTTCTCTCTATTATGAACCATGATATGATAAATATCTTTGTTTATATACTGTGGCAAGTATTTGCATTATATCCATAGTAAATGCCTAGCAGGAAGAGTGCCAAGTTACGAGGACACTCAGATAGCCCTGTGGGAAGGCCCATTTGGTGAGGAATGGAGCCTCCTTCTAATGAGTAGCATATGCCAGTCACATGAGTTTGCCACCTTGAAGTGAATCCTCCAGCACCAAATAAGCTTTCAGATGACTGCAGTCCTAGGTAATATCTGATTGCAGCTTCATGAGAGACCCTGAGCCTAAACCGCCTAGCCAAGTCACTCTTGATTTCCTGACTCACGGAAGTTATGACGGTTTTTTTTTTAATATACTAGTTTTGGGGTAACATGTTAAGCAATATCAGATAACTAAAATACTTATGGCTTGGAACAGTGGTTGTCAACCCTGGACAGTTTTGCCCCTCAGGGACATTGGCAATGTCTGAAGACATTTCGATCGTTCTACCTGGGGAGGATGCTACCGGCATTTAGTAGATAGAGGGCAGGAATGCTGCTAAACAGCCTACGGTGAACAGAAGAGTTCCCAACAACAACAACAACAACAACAACAACAACAACAAAATACGCAGCCCCAAATGTCAATGGTGCCAAAGTTAAGAAATCCTGAATCCTAGAATAACTTAAATAACGTATTTTAAATAAGGTCTCACTCTGTCAACCAGGCTGGTGTGCAGTGGCATGATCTCGGCTCACCGCAACCTCCGCCTTCCAGGTTCAAGCAATCCTCCCACCTCAACCTCCCGAGTAGCTAAGACTACAGGGACGTGTGGTACCATGCTTGGCTAAATTTTTGTATTTTTGTAGTGACAGGGTTTCTCCATCTTGTCTAGGCTGGTCTCAAACTCCTGGGCTCAAGCTATCTGCCTGCCTCAGCCTCCAAAAGTACTAGGATTAGAGGTGTGAGCCACCATGCCCAGCCCAAGTATTTTCTTTCTTTCCTTCTCCTTTTCTTTCCTTCTTCTTTTCTCTCCTGCTTTCTTTTCTTTTCTTTCCTCTTTTCTTTTCTCCCCCCACCACCGCCCCCATCTCGCTCCCTCCCTCCAGCCCTCCCTCTCTTTCTTTCTTCTTTTTTTTTGGTGACAGATTCTCACTCTGTTACCCAGGCTGGAGTGCAGTGGTGCAATCACGGCTTACTGCAGCCTCAACCTTCTAAGATCAAGTGATCCTCCCACTTCAGCCTCCCAACTAGCTGGGATACAAACATGTACCACCACAACTGGCTATTTTTTAAAATTTTTTGTAGAGGTGGAGTCTCTTGATGTTTCCCAGGCTGGTCTCGTATTCCTGGGCTCAAGTGATCCTCCTGCCTCTAACTCCCAAAGTGTTGGGATTACAGGTATAAACCACTGTGCCTTGTCTCTATATCTTTTTCTTTTCTTCTTCTTCTTCTTTTTTTTTAAAGAAGGAGTCTTGCTATACCATCCAGGCTGGAGTGCAGTGGCGCAATCTTGGTTCACTGCAACCTCTGCCTCCCAGTTGAAGTGATTCTCCTGCCTCAGCCTCCCGAGTAGCTGGGATTACAGGCATGAGCCACCGCACCTGGCTCCATATCGTTTTTAATCTTGGATTTTTAATCACTTTTACAGGCTCTTCCATGCTAACTGATGAAGCAAATCCTGACCAATGTAAAAACATATTTTTGCAATGAGATGCTGACGAGTCACACAACCTCTTTTGCAAGCTAGTTGAATTCCAAGATCCTGTACTTTTTGGAGTTTTGGAAAACAATATGTGAAATAGGTTATTATTTTAATTCTAACAATTTTTCTGTAGATCCTTCTGGATTATCTAGGGACACAATTGCATCATCTGCAAAAAGTGTGAATTTTAAAAATTCTCTCAAATTTTTATGACTTTTTTCTTAGTTTATTATTCTGGTTTGAGCCTCTAGTGAAATAATGCATAGCAGTGATAGTGGACAGTTTTTGTCTTATTCTTGATGTCAAGGAGAAAGTTTTAAATATTTCCTTAGGTGTGATGTTTGTCATAGGGTTTTTTTTTTTTTTTTTTTTTTTTTTTGGATATACTCTCAATCCAATTAAGGAAGTCCCTTTCTATTCAAATTGCTAAGGGTTTGCTTGTTTTTTCAATCATGAATGGAAATTGGATTTATCATTTGCTTTTTCTCAATCTATAGAAATGCTCACATGGGAGAAAGAATAGTCTTTTCAGCAAATGGTGTGGGAGACGACTAAATATCCACATTTAAAACAATAAAACTGGATCCCTACCTAACATCCATACACAAAAATTAGCTCAAGATACAAGATAGACTTTAATATAAGTGCTGAAAATATAAAATTTTACTAGGTCGGTGCAAAAGTAATTGCAGTTTTTGCCATTACTTTCAATGGCAGTTATGGCAAAAACTGCAATTACTTTTGTGCCAATGTAATAGAAGAAAACACAGGAATAAATTTTTGTGATCTAGGTTGGGTAATCATTTCTTGAATAAGGCACCAAAAACACAAATAATAAAAAAGAAAATTGATAAGTTGCAGCTCATCAAATTAAGATCAATTGTGCTTCAAAGGATGCCACTGAGAAAGTGAAAGGACAAGCAAAAGTAGCAAAAAATATTTTCCAATAAATCATTAAGACTAGTATCCAGAATATATAAAAAATTCTTACAACTCAATATCATTAGTCTGTTTATATGAAATGTCCCAAACTGGCTATCTATAGGGACAGAAAGCAGATTTGTGCTTTCCTAGGGTGGTAGAGAGGGGAAAATGGGGAGTATTTGCTAATAGGTACAGTTTTCTTCTTAAAGTAGTGAAAATGTCTTAAAATTAGATGGTGGTGATATTTGCTGACTCTGAAATTAAACTAAAAGTTGTCATATTTTATACTTTAAACAGGTGAAGTTTATGGACTCACTGCAGGCTTGAGCTCAAGTGATACTTCCACCTCAAACTTCCAAGTAGCTGGGACCACAGGCATGCCACCACACCTGACTCGTTTTTGTATTATTTTTCTTTTTTTTTTTTTTGTAGAGACAGTGTCTCGCTATGTTGCCTAGGCTGGTCTTTAACTCCTGAACTCAAGTGATCCCCCTGCCTCAGCCTCCCGAAAGTGCTGGGAATACAGGTGTGAGCCACCACACCTGGCCTAAAAAACAGCTTTGAGATGAAACTTGCATGTCATACAATTCATTCATTTAAAGTGTACAGTTCAGTGGTTTTTAGTGTATTGACAGAGCTGTGCAGCCATCACCACAATTTAGCTTTAGAGTATTTTCATCTCCCCCAAAACTAACCTGTACAATGAGCTGGTACTCCCCATTCCCTCTTCCCAACACTCCTCTTCCCAGAACCACTAATCTATTTTCTATCTCTGTGGATTTACCTATTTGGGAGATTTCACATAAGGAAGTCATACAATATGTAATATCTCATGACCACTCCTGACTTGGCATGCTATCATTGTCATTCCTTTGAACTGTACATATTTGCAAACTCCACATTATATTATTGCTTTATATAGTCAAGATTCATTTGGATATATACACCTTAGGAACACCTTTGATATTTTAGTTTTGGTTACACTGAACTTAAATTTATCTGTGAAAAAGACATCTTACAATATTGAGTCTTCCTGTTGAAGAGAACAATATATTTTTTCATTGATTTAAGTTGTATGTTCTCCCAGTAGCACTTTAAAGTTTTCTTCATCTAGGTTCTCTGTCGTTTTTGTTGAATCCATACCTAGATATTGTTGCTTTTTGTATATTTTTTTCTTTTGGATAGTAGAGCCTTCTCGTCTTTATTAGAGTAGAGATGAGTGGTTTTGTCAGTGCTTTCTTTATGTGACCTGTGTAATAGGTAATTTTCCCTTAAGTCTGATATACAATATAAATATGTACATAGATATATATGAAACAAGGAAAATTGATGACAAGAGCCAAATAGTGTTTCTGACAAATAATTCACAGAAGTCCAGGATTTTATTTTGATTCAAATTTTAAAAAATGAGAGAAGAAAGAAAAAAACAAGATGTTTGTTTTTCAGCGTTTCCTGGGAGGTTTTCTCAATTTGTTACTTTCTTATCCATTACTTTACAGTTGCATGGGCTCTGGTCCATTTGTGTCAGAGCCAAGTTCATCTTGTTTTGAGGCCCTTACACTTACACACTTTTCTTGTAACTGGGAATGATTTCTCCTCACGTTCTGATTCTCCTTCGAATCTCAGTTTAAATGTCAACTCCTCTCCAAACCTCCCTGAGTGAAGTGGGCCTTTTCCTTCATTTTCTTTCACTGTACTACTTCATGCCCTGAGCACTCATCACAGCCTAATAACATCTATTAACTGCTTTGTCTGTTTCAGACATACAATGTAGATTCTCCAGTGCCTACCAGAGTACTTGGCACATACTATGCCTTCAACACATAATTTTCAAAAAAATGAATTCAGATAAGGCAAATTTAATTTAAACTTCTAGTTAACTTATGCTGAATGTATATGCCAGGCACAAGTCTTGGTGTATTTTACATATTACATTTGGCTGTCATCTAATTAGCTCAGAAGCTCGCAGACTCACAGTTCCAAAGTCCTCTCTAATCCTAGCAATTTTCTCCTCCCACCTGAGGGTCTTGTCCCGCCCCCCCACATCTTCTTCACCCCTCACCCTTCTGGGAGCCCAGGCAGGGTTACCCGGTGGAGCCTTCCGGGACCGATGCGCATGCGCGGCCGATCTGCACATGCGCAATATTCGCGCTGCCGCCGCTGTCCCTGCCTGGTTGAGGTGGCAGCAAGGGGCCGGACGCGCAGCGCAATGGCTGAGGGCAGCGGGGAAGTGGTCGCAGTGTCTGCGACCGGGGCTGCCAACGGCCTCAACAATGGGGCAGGCGGGACCTCGACGACGACCAACAACCCGCTGTCCCGCAAGCTGCATAAGATCCTGGAGACGCGGCTGGACAACGACAAGGTAACCGGGGCTGGTGGGGCCGGAGGCACAGGTTCCCGCCGGGCTGAGCCGGGCCAGGGGCGGCGTCTGTCAGGGACCCACCGCGGTCTCCCTCGTCCCGGCCGCAGAGCGACCGCGAGTGACCCCAGCCCTTCGGGCTCCGCTGCTCTGCGGGCGCCGGGAGCGGGGGGGTGAGAAAGGGGAGCCCCAGTAACCTCCGGAAAAGCGAAGGGGTTTCCTGTGTGTTCTCTCCACCTGAAAAGGTGCCTTCAAGACTCTCTGGATGGGATTGGTGAACTGTGGCGCCTCGAAAGGTGCCCTCCATACACCCCCGCAGGTGTTTGGCGGTGTGAGCCGGGAGACAGGAGGAGAGCACAGGACAGGATAGGAAATACATGCAGAAGAGCAGATTCCAAGATAAGGCAGTGCGAATGGGGGTCAGGGGACCAAGAGAGCAGTGGTAGGGATAAGGGAGCGTTTCCGCCGACAAGTGACCACAGCTACAATAATTTACAGCGCGAAAGAACTACCTTTGCCCATGGCTGAAATGAACTTATATCTACTAGTTTTTGTTGTTGTTAGCCAAGCGCTATGATTTGTGGGCTCAGGCTGTATTTCTTTAGAAGATAGACCGCATGCTCTCCCAAGTACCTCCTGAAACTCAAGTTGGACTTTACAGTTGCTCACATACCCAGCCATCTCTTCTGTGTCCGTGAGTCGCTAGGTAAATTGATCATGACAGTGTAACATAAAGAAGAACATATCTCAAAGTTTTATAGGTGAATGTGTAGGTAACTGAAAAATAGCTGTCAATAACAATTTGACTCCGATATGTAACAAAATAACATTGCAATGTAATGAATAAGAAAGAAGGGCTCTGGGGGCTACCACTTTTTAGATAGAACCACTAAATTTGTGCATTATGATTTGAGTAAGTCCCTTCACTAATCTCAGCTTCTGTTTAGGAAGTAGGAATACTGCTAGTAACTTTCTCATGGTGGTTATTTGAGGACTCAGTGAGAGACTCCAGGTAAAGTCCTTTGCAAAGAGCCTGGCACTTACCGTTTCTTAACAAATATTAATTTTATCATAAAATTTATGAAGTGTTTAATGTATCTCGTATTGATATTTATTATATCATTTAAGACTGCTACTTATTCTGATGTAAATAACATGGCCTTCTTTTTTTTTTTCTTTCTTTTTTTTTTTTTTTTTTTTTTTGAGACAGAGTTTCGCGCTTGTTGCCCAGGCTGGAGTGCAATGGTGCAATCTCGGCTCACCCCAACCTCCATCTCCCGGGTTCAAGTGATTCTTCTGCCTCAGCCTCCTGAGTAGCTGGGATTACAGGCAGGCGCCACCACACCCGGCTAATTTTGTGTTTTTAGTAGAGATGGGGTTTCTCCTTGTTGGTCAGACGGGTTTCGAACTCCAGACCTCAGGTGATCTGCCCGCCTCGGCCTCCCAAAGTGCTAGGGTTACAAGGTGTGAGCCAGAGCGCCTGGCCACATGACCTTCTTTTTACCATGAGGATAATAAAGCATGGAGAGAGGGCAGCTAGGTTGTCATACAACTAGTAACTGGTGGAACTGTAATTTACATTTGAGTCTGTGATTTCGTTCATTCAGTATTACTGACTACTTCTTTGAACCAGACCTAAGGACATTTCAAGGCTATAGTTAAAAGAAACTGCTTCACTTTATGGGTTTTTTTTTTTTTTTTCTTTTTTTTGGTATGGTAAGTATTTATAGTTGTAAACATATTTTTGCTTCCCCTTAAATATTGTTGGATTTATATAAATAGCTTTACTATTTTTGTCAATCCAGCCAATATTTCAAAATAACGTAACAGAAACATGAAAGGATAAGCCTACTAGAATATACAGTAGTAGAGGTGTAGACATGTATATCTGCAAAATTGAGGGTACTATGGGATGTCCTGGGCTTGGTTCTCTGCTCTCTCCTCTTTTCATGTTCTCTCTGTGAGAAAAATCTTGTACTTTCATAATTTTAAGTAGTAAAAAGCATGATTACTCTCAAATTTATGACTGTGTTTCTGACATAGACTGAGCTCCAGATTTGTAGAATCAGTTGTCTATACTATACTTCCAGTTGGATACTGATTGACATCATAGAACTTAACATGGGTGGAACTCTTGATTTTTCCCTAAACTGGTTCCACTCTCGCTAAAGAACATCACCATTTACCCTGTCAAGCAAGAAGCATATGAGTAATTTTGGATTCTTGTCACTTCACTTTTTTTTTTTTACATCTCCTGTCAAATCCACAAATGTATCCTACTTTGAAAAAAATTTTTGGAATTTTTTTTTTTTTTTTTTTTTTTTTTTTGAGACCACGTCTCACCCTGTCACCCACGCTAGAGTCCAGTGGAGAGAACGCGGCTTTACTGCAGCCTCGATCTTGCGGGCTCAAGTGATCCTCCTGCCACAGCTTCCCAGGTAGCTGAGTCTACAGGCACATGCCACCATACCTGGCTAATTTTTTGATTTTTTTGTAGAGATAGGGCTTCACTATGTTACCCAAGCTGGTTTTGAACTCCTGGCATCAAACTATCCTCCCAACTTGACCTCCTGAACTGCTGGGATTACAGATGTAAGCCACTGTGCCATGTTTTGGAATATCTCTTTTTCATTTGTACTACTGCCATCTTGGTCTAAGCCACTATCAAACCATACTTGGATTATTTTAGTTTTTTCTCTTACCTACCTCCTTTCTTGTATCCCTCTACCATTCATTTCCCTTACAAAGTTGAATAAACTTTTATAAATGTAAATTGTATTATATTACTCCCCTGCCTAAAATCGTAATAATTTCTCATAGCTTCGGTCATAGTGGCCTTCCTTCTACCACTTTAGGGTCTTTGTACTCACTGTTTGCTCTCTCTGTGGAAGGCTTTGTCTCCATGACTGGCTGTTGCCTACCACTGAGGCCTCAGGTCAAAGTCACCTCAGAGAGGCCTTCCCCTTTAAGTTCTTCCAAGTTCTGCTTTCAGTTATTCAGTTTCTAGCCTGGAGGCTTCCAGTACTTATTCTTAAATAGATCGTTCCAGAGATAGTTAATGTGTACCTTATATATGTGTAAACTAGGTACACACAAGTAAATATGCATGTATATATTCCTTTTAAGTTTTTAACTGTTGGTATTATAACTGTTTCTATGCCTTGATGTTTCACTTACCATATCTCAAAGCTTATACTACGTAAGTGCATAAAGATTTTTTTTTGTAAATAGGTATATCATAATTTATTTAACCAATCCCTTTTAGATGGACATTTAGATTATTTCTAGTCTTTGCAATTCCAAACAATTCTGCAATGAACCTCGTATATATATAACACTATACACAAGTAAGTATACCCTTATTATGTTCTGGAAATAAGCATGCTTCAGTAATTGAAGGTCCTTCAATATTTTTTTGATTGTTTAATGAAAACGAATCATTTGAAAATGATTTCATTACATTTTGTCTTGAGATTAGGAAAACATTTAAAAATTAGTTCTAGTAACTATCTTCTGTTACCAATTGTATAGGAGATGTTAGAAGCTCTCAAGGCACTTTCAACCTTTTTTGTTGAAAATAGTCTGAGAACTCGAAGAAATTTACGTGGAGATATTGAACGTAAAAGTTTAGCCATCAATGAAGAATTTGTAAGCATTTTCAAGGAAGTGAAGGAGGTATGTAAACTCTTTTCATTTAGCGTATATTGAGAACTTACTGTTATGTCTGGCTCTGTGCTAAGTATTTTTTTGAATTAGATTGATATATTTGCTATTCGTATACTATGCCCAAATAGAAAACTTAGCTAATTTATCTTGCTGCATTTGGGTCTTTATTTGTATTAATATGATTTATGAATCTGTGACTTCCACAAATATTAATTCTTAGAAAGTTGTAACATTGTTCTAGAAGATTATCTTAGGAATTTTAGCTTTTTTAACAAAAATATTAACATTTCCCTGAATGGCTTTCCAGTAGAAATATCCCCTCATCGAATAAACCTCTCTTGGATAACAACTTCTCTGTTGGAGATTAATTAGAATTGAGTTACTTTTACTATATCCTAAAATACGAAAATTTCAGATTAATATCAGTAACTTCAATGTATTAATAATGGTTCATCATACTTGAGAGTATAGTCCACTCGCCATAGAGTGAAAATAAGTTTTGTTTATGTTATTCTATCTTATTTATTATGTAATATTTTATTAACTGTATTAATACATTATAATAGTAATATATTTCTCTGTGAGTTATGGAAGTGTTGCACATGGTTTCAATGAGTGTTCAATAAAAATAGATTGTTTTAACACCTTGGTAGGTTTTTATTGACTGAAGACTAATAATTTGGAAAGGGTTTTTCTTTATTACATTAGAGATGGAATCTTGCTATGTTGCCCAGGCTGGAGTACAGTGGCTGTTCCGAGGTGTGATCATAGTACACTATAACATCGAACTCCTGGGCTCACTCAATTCTCGCACCTTAGTCTCCCAAGTAACTGGGACTACAGGTGCATGCCACCAGGCCTGGCTCTTTTAAACATCATTTCCTACTAAAAGGAACAATCTTATCAGTATCAGAAAGCAAAGATGCTATCTGAGACGATTGGATAAATGTCAAAAGGATTTTGGAGCTAATATGAAGAGGATTCTTCCACTGGCCAAACATAGGACTCTTTGAACATCAATAAGAAGAACTGCAATTGAATAACACTAGGAATACAGGGATATTCAGTTTTATAAAGCATTTGCCATTTTCCTGTGGTCATATTCTCTAAAAGGACTGGACTATTTTCTTTACAGTTTTTCTAACACTAGATGTTATTCTTTTTAATCATTTCCAGTTTTAAATATGGGATCTCTTGTCATGCCTTGACCAAAAAAAAATTTATGTAACTAAAATAAGGATTTAGCTAAGAGAAGAGAACCTTCTTCTTACTGTATATATGATATGTGATGTTACTTTTCTCCTTTTCAGGAACTTGAAAGCATAAGTGAAGATGTTCAAGCAATGAGCAACTGTTGTCAAGATATGACAAGTCGCCTACAGGTATTGTATAATGGCTAGATTTTGGCATAGTTCCTGCTGTAAAGTAAACTTTCAAAAATTATTGGGTCTACAAAATGTATAGATATCTAATCCATAATGCCCTGTAGGAAATTTGGGTATAAATATAATCCTTATTTTAAAAAATTTTAGATATCTTTGTGTTTCTTTGGATAATGATTTATTAATATTGTTCAATTGACTTTAGAGCATTTATGTTTTGGTCTGGCCAGTACAGAGCTAACTATGTAGAATTGTGATAAACCTTTCAATTCCATAATATTCTAGAAATCTAGGAAGAATGATTTTCTTTTAGTAAGAAGCCTTAGGATTAATTTCACACTAAAGCCGTGCCTGATAAAGACCCAGCTTAATTCTGATTTATGCATAGCCTTAAAACAATTCTGGGAAAATATGTATAATTTTAGGTCTTTTAATGAAAGCAGTCCTAAACTTACAGTTTGGCAGCAGAATCAGCATTTTGACTTAATTACCCTCAGTCATCTAATTTTGGAGTAGTACATAGAACAGTTTCCTCCTAAGGGCCAATCATGATTACGTCTACTACCTTCACATTTTAAGAGCAAGCTTCTATCTCTAAGTGTCTCCTGGAACCATTGACATCAACAGTGATTCTAGGAAGAATCGTTAATGCATATTCTCTAGATTAATCACAGGCTACTTGCATCATCAGTTTGCAGGGCTAGTTAATTTCTTGTTTCTCTAAAATTTTATCTTTTCTGGTCTTGTCTAAATTTTGATATTCTTACTAACCTATCAGATATTATTGGCATGTTTATTGTCTCTCAGTCCAATATTTAAGTATTTGTTAATTTGACAATATTTAAATAATTATATAGTATATACTAATTATTAATGTCCATTTCACATTTTTGGCATATATTTACTTTATGCCTCAGTGGTTGATTTGGTTTGACCCTTCTTTTTCTTTAATTTTTTATTTCCTTTTCTCATCTTTTAGTTTCCATAATGTAATGCCTTTCCTCAAATTACACTTTATAATGTTTTCTATATTGTACTTTTGTGTTTTTTAAATAATATTGTGCTCTGTAATATTAGACTACTCAGTTTCCAACTTTTAGTGGTAGTATCTCTTATTTTTTAATTTGTACCCTTACTTATACTTTTATACTTTTCATCATAGAGTTTTAAATATAAAAAGATCATAGTATTTTTATTCTTCGTGCTATTTTTCAAATAGTTTATAAATATTTTAAATTACAACCGAAGTGTCTCCTTCTGTTTTGTCCTTTGTATTTTTTTTTTGAGACAGAGTCTCACTCTATCCTCAGTGGTGCGATCTTGGCTCACAGCAACCTCCACCTTCTGGGTTCAAGCAATTCTGTCTCAGCCTCCCAAGTAGCTGGGATTGCAGGCGCCTGACACCATGCCTGGCTAATTTTTGGGTTTTTAATAGAGGCAGGATTTCGCTATGTTGTCCAGGCTGGTCTCAAACTCCTGACCTCAAGTGATCTGCCTGCCTCGGCCTCCCAAAGTGCTGGGATTACAGACATGAGCCACCATGCCTGGCCAGTCCTTTATATTTTCTTTGCACCCACCTTACACCCTATTTTTTCTTCTGTAGTGACATGGGCCTATTTTCTTTCTTTTTTCAGGTCAACTTTATTGAGGAATAATTTATGAATGGTAATAAACTGCACCCATTCAAAGTGTTCATATTGATAGGCTTGACAGTTTTATACACCTGTGAAACAACAACCATAATCAAGATACAGAACATTTTTATCACCTATAAAAGATTCCCTCATAGCTTTTTGATTGAATATTTAAAAATATTTGATATTGCCTATTGTTTACATTCATTTTTGATCCACATATCATTTCTAATAGTAGGAGGTCCATGATTTTGAAGGTTTTGTTTATTCTTTCAAATTATGCTTAAAGGTAATTTATTTGGATATAGCACTATTGGAATTCTAATAGTGTATGTTCATAATATCAACTGTAATGTTCTTAAGTTATTCATTCATAAAGAAAAGTATTTCTTAGAGTATCCGCTCTGTTTTTCTTATCGAATGTTGTTATAATGATTCATTTAATTATTTAATATTTTCTGAAATGCTTTGCCTATGGTACTTTTAGAAATTATTAGAAAACATTTAAAAATGTAATCAGTAGTTTTATATGTGTTATTGTTTATTCCTTTGTGGTTTTCCTTGGATAAATTACATTTAGATGCATATGTTTATTATTAATTCAATAATAATCATCTTTAACATTTAAGATAAATGGAAAGTGAGATTAATAGTCTTCATTAATATTATTAAATATTACTTTGGAATTCTTACCATAGTTTATAAATAAAAAAAATCAGGAAATATGCAAAAAACATTTGCAAATTCTTATTATATAACATTGTGCTAAAGTATCATATTTCATTGATTAATAAATGGTGTTGATTGTAAGGTGCACCCTCAATAATGACTGGAGTAAAAAGCTAGTAAATGTTTTTTGATACTGATTTTGTGAAGCATTCTTTTTTTCAGAAATATTAAAATGTAAATATATCTTTGACTTGAGGGGATACTATATTTTAAAAATTGCATCAGGCCAGACTGTACAAGGGTGGAAATGGAACTTTAAAGTTTAAGAAGTATAAGCATTTGAAGAAGTTATTGGCAGTCTAATAATTCTAAAAGAGTACCTTGGGAGCTATCATGTTGAGCTCCATTCCTTAAAAGTCAGTGAAATGGCCAGGCATGGTGGCTCACACCGGTAATCTCAGCATTTTGGGAGGCAGAAGGATCCTTTGCGACTAGTCTGGGCAACATAGCAAGACACCATCTCTACCAAAAACTTTTAATAAGTTAGCCAGGCATGGTGGCACATGCCTATAGTCCTAGCTATTCTAGAGGCTTAGGTGGGAGGATTGCTTGGGCCCGGGAGGTCAAGGCTTCAGTGACTCAAGATTGCACCACCGTACTCCAGGCTGGGTGACAGAGTGAGTGAGACCCTGCCTCTTTAAAAACAAATAATAATAATAAAGATAAGTGATATGCAGAATTACCTAGGTTCAAATCTATTTTCTTAAAAAATCTATTTCCTGGGAACATATACTCAAAATAGCTTCATTTGAGGTGGCAATCAGGCTCTTTTATTGACAGGATACCTAGAAAGCAATAAGAGAATTTCCCTTGCAGTCTGAAAACTGAGTTTGTAGAGGATTAGGCCTCTAAAAACCCAGAACTGGAGGTGTCTAGGTCTAAGGCAGCTTTAGAAAGAAACCTTAGCAACAGGCCAGGCACAGTGGCTCACGCCTGTAATCCTACCACTTTGGGAGGCCAAGGCAGGCAGATCACGAGGTCAGGAGATTGAGACCATCCTGGTTAACACGGTGAAACCCCTTCTCTACTAAAAATACAAAAAATTAGCCGGGAGTGGTGGCGGGCACCTGTAGTCCCAGCTACTCAGGAGGCTGAGGCAGAAGAATGGCGTGAACCCGGGAGGCAGAGCTTGCAGTGAGCCCAGATCGCGCCACTGCACTCCAGCCTGGGCGACAGAACGAGACTCTGTCTCAAAAAAAAAAAAAAAAAAGAAAGCAACAGAAGCTTGACTCTTTATTGTGGTGTTCTAACATGAAAATGACCCTGTGTCTTCGGATGTTTGCTCTGGTATTTTCTCTTTAACAGACTGACTCACCTTCTATTTTATGTGTTTTTCTCTACTTTACTAATGACGTAATTTATGCATCTTTCTGGCTCATTTAATTTTTCTTCAAGGCATGGACTCTATTTCTGTACGTGCCTCATGACTACTTGCTTCTCTTCTTGTTGTTTATTGCCTTAGTTTTGTAATATTCCCCAGTTCAGATCTTTGAGAGAGAATCTTATTGTCTTTTGTTTAAAGCCACTTCGTGAATGTGTTCTAATCTTTGGATAAAATGCTTTCTTAATTGACTTTTCACTCTTGATCCTTTCAACTGTGGCTTAGGGAAGGGAGAATTGCTTAGAATGGAAGTTGGTTAGGAACAGCCTTGTGTCCTTTAGATGGGGCTAGCTCTGATCCTCACCAAAAACTTATATGGCAGGTAGTTTGTATATTACAACTTTCAAATTTTTACCTCCATCTTACACTTTTCTGTTGAGCTCCACACTTGCTTTTCAGTGACTTAGTTAACAACCCCATGTAGAGGTTGCATGGTATCTCAGTTCAACATGTCCATACCTGAAGTCATGTTCTTCATTCTTAACTTGTTCTTCCAGTGCTTCTGTTGCACTAAAAAGCATCATGAACTATTAAGTTCTTTAGTCAGCATCTGGATACCTTTTTCTTTCTTGTAAGCCTTAGCATTATGTGTATATTAAGAACTCTTGAGTGTGTTCCTCCAGTAGATGAGCCTTGAAACATCTACGTATTTCATTTTGTTGTGCTTTTCTTTTGAGTTCCATAGAGTGATCTCAAGTCTAAATTACAGTAAGTGGTAGTTTTCTTTTCTGAAATGTAATAAAATTGGAATGTACTTATATTAGATATGTTTATAATTTTAGGCAGCAAAGGAACAGACTCAAGATTTAATAGTAAAAACCACTAAGCTTCAATCTGAAAGGTAAGTTTTTCTTCATACAACCACCTTTTCAATAATTTGGAGATTGGAGTCAAAGAAAATTATATATAACTCCAAATCAAAATTAAAGCAGAATAATAACATGGTTCATAAGGTCCTAAGCTATTATATTATCCAGTAGTAACTTTAGCATAAAGACAGTAGTTTAGGAGCATTAAACTTGATATTGGGTTGAGAGATTATTCCTTCTTTGGAAGAGAGGTGATGATGTATTGTCATTGTTTGCTGCAGAGTTCAGAAATGATTGCTTTTTAAAATGTAAATTTTTTCAGATTTTTAATAGCTTTACTACTATTTTTTTCACAATCATTGTCTTTTATTTTTAAGCTATGATATATCCTCTCTGGTATAATTAAGAGTTAATTGTATAAATTCTCCTTGTAGTTTATACAATAGGTATACTGTTGGTTGATTGAATAAATGAGTGAGTGAATAAAGGTGAGTACAGCATGGATTTGTATAATGTGTTGTGTTCAGTATTGCTAAAACTCATAGCAGTTATGCTAAAACTCATTAACAATGCATCTCTCCTGTGTGGAGTAGTATAGATGGGGAGAAGCATTATATTATGATGCAGTATACTTGTCTCCTGCTCAGTAGTTGGGTACATCACTTAAACCTTTTAGTATTCTAGGTGTTTCATCAGTAATATGGAGATACTACCACTGTAACTGCTCATTTTGTGGTAGGTCAGTGTACTGTAGTAGAGACTACAGGTCATCAAACTATGGCCACATGCCAAATCCAGCTCACCACCTGCTTTTGTAAACGCATCTTTATTGGAACACAGCTACGGTTGTGTTTACATACTGTCTATGGCTGCTTTCACCCTACTGCAACAGAGTTGTGTGGTTACAACAGAGACCATATGTGGCCTACAAAGCCTAAAATATGTACTATCAAGATTTTTACAGAAAAAGTCTGTGACTCCTGATCCATCTCATGTTTTTTGTTGTTCGGGTCAAGATCAGTGGGTTGTAAATTATGATTTATCAGTCATTACTACTATTTAAGTCAATCATAGCTAGCCTGAAAAAATAAATTAGAATAAAATAAAATAGAAAATAGTTTGGGTAGCTGGGCATGGTGGTGCACACCTGAAGTCCCATATATTCTGGAGGTTAAGGTGGGAAGATCATTTGAGCCTAGGAGTTCAAGGTTGCAGTGAGCTATGATAATGCCACTGCACTCCAGCCTAGGTGACAGAGGGAGACCCTGTCTCTAAAAAATAAATAAGTAAAAATAGTTTGGGTGAATATTATTTTGTGAAGCATTTCTTTCAGTTTTGGTAATGGTTTTAAATGGTTTAATATTATGGGTCATAGTCAAGGGTTTGAAAAACACTGCGCTAGACCAACAATGGCAAATACATGACCCCCAACTCCTTAGTTTTACATCCATTGATCTTGACATTCTTTTATATTGAGCCCTTAATCCTTCTTAATACAATTCTCTTCAGGCTAAGATTGATGAATGGGAAATTATAAAGAGTGCAGAGGTGTAAAGTTACTTGTGTAAAAGAATATCATGGGCTACTGAGGACTCAGAGATCCACTGGAATGATCCATTGCAGTTAAAATGGTAACCAATGTAACTTACTTTTCTGTCATATAAAAACATGGAGAAAATGTGACAAAATTAGCAAAATAAACTGTATGTACCAATATCATCTAAAAATACTATCTTTAATAGCACAAAACAAAGCAAACATTTTCTTTACTCGTATAGGAAGTATGTTATTGGATATTGAAACATGTACCTTATCTTAAAACTGTGGCTTTCAAAGCATAGTTCATTGAATCTTAGGGTTTCTTTGCAAGATGTAGAAGGATAATGGAGTTTTGGAGATCAGATTCTCTCACCCTAATTTTAGTTAGAGCAATTTCACTTTTACTTATTTAATGTATGAGGATTCCATGTAAGATTTTGTTTGAAAAAAGGGGTTGACAGCAGGAAAATATAAAAATATTGCCCAATTTTAAGACTAGTTGAAAGGAAAAATACCAAATAAAATAGTCTCTTGATTTTATTCCTTATGCCAGAATAAAATCTTTAAAAAAAAAAAACCTAAGTATCAAAACTTTATAAAAGTTTAATCATAATTTCATGCATTTAATTCCCTTTTTGTTTACTAACTACCTTCCCTTTCACTAAAATCCACCTTTACCCATTTTGTGATTTCTACAAGCCAAAATGAGAGCAAGTTGATGTTGTCCTCAGATTTATTGAATTGCAAATTGCCTGGATAGAAATTAATTTTAGGAAGTCTGGCCTTAAATTCTCTTTTATCTTGTTTATGTCATTCTGTATTTTATAGCTGGATAAATGGTCATACCCCCCCACTGGTGGTTAATTACTGGATGTTGACCTGTAAGTCAGCTTTTTTTCTGAAAAGTCTGTAAACTTTTCAGAGCACCTTCAATCCAATCCTTTTATGTTTAACATTTAATCAAAGACTTTAGAGTATATATAGACAACTTACTTAGAAAATTGTGAATGACACAAAGTATGGAATGTTAAATGTGAAATATCAACAGACTCAAGCTTTTAAGAAAAAACGGGGCGGGCAAGAGGGTGAATAGGATGGTAAAGGGTCTCAAAAAATGATGTAGGGTTGAAAACACCAGAATTGTTTATTTAGAAGTATAGGACTAAGAGGGACACGATGGTGTCTTCAAATATTTGATGATCTTTCTTGTTTAAAAAAGGGCTAAATTTTATTATGTATTGCTGCTGAGTTTGGAACTGAGTTTTAAAGGAGAAATTTACAGGTGGCAAATTTTGACTTATAATAAGTAAGAATTTTCTATCCCTTACAATTTGAACAATTAGTTCTTCAAAGCTTTTTTTTTTTTAATCACTGGAAATATTTAGTCTGATGTTAGGTGTCATTGGAGCCATCTTTTATTTCAGTTTTTCTTCCTGATCTTTTACGTTACAATTCATGTATCCCACACTTTATCTCAGTAAACATAAGAACCACCAAGGAGCTTGATAAAATGGCAAGTTTTGGCCTCCATCCTCAGAGATCTGACTGAAAAAAGTAAACAACTGTGTCTTTTGGTTAATGACTCAGTAAATCTTGATTCGGGCTCAGGATTCGGCCCCAGGGATTTTTATGCAGTGGTCCAGAGACTATAATTTGAAAGACCTGGGCTTAGACAAAATATTATTCATATTTTTAATTTTTTGTGGAATGTCCCTCTCCCCTACCTGAATTCTCTCATCTCCTAACTGTTAAACTTTGAAAAAACATTTAAACTTTTTAAATGTTAAACTTTATATTTTGAGATAATTATAGATTCATATGCAACTGTAAGAAATAATACAGAGATCCAAGGTAGCCTTTACCTTGTTTCTGCCAAAGGTAACATTTTACAGAACTATAGTATGGTACCACAACTAGGATAATGACCTTGGTACTATCTACCTGTCTTATTCAGATTTCACAGTTTTACTTATTGGTGTATTTATTTTTATACATTTTATCATTTGTAGATTCCTGAATGCACCACCATAGTCACGATATAGTACAGTTCCATCACCACAAATATTCCCCTGTTGGTGGTAGACAGTGGTGAGAAAAGTTACAGACTAAGCCCATGCGAGAGATGGTTGACTCTGCAAAGCAGTCAGCTCTGTGAGGAAAGGCAATGTTAAATTTCTTTATCAGAATTAAGCCTGTGCCTTCACCGTAAAATTAGATTGCATTTTATAACAGTTCTTTTGAAAGAAAAGTGTCCTAGAAAAACACATGCCCTGTTAGAGACCTTGACATTAATTTTTCTCTAACTTAGTGCTGAACACAAAAACAAACGTTACTTTAATTAAAAATTGTGACTAAAACTAAGAGGATAACACATCAGTAATCCTGTATGCAAAGCCTATTTAAACATTTCCTGTTCTCAGTTAAATCTTTTTGTTTTCATTTTTAGTGTAATATGTATTACAGTTGTTTGCAATTAATTGTTGATTTGATTGTCTCTTTATCTCCTAAACTGTGAGCTCCTTGAGAACAATGACAATTTCTTATTCTCCTTTTTGTATTTGCAGTGCCTGGTATTTCACAGATTCAATAAATAATTTTTGAGTAAATGAATATGGGAAGCAACTATAATGTTAGGAAAGGAACATAAAGTGAAAACTAAAAATAAGCCTTGTATTGGAGCTTGTAATATGGGACTCTAAATAATGCATACAGGAGACAATAGTAGAACATTGTGCTTCTGTTCATGTATTCTCAAAACTAAGCAAGGTTTATGTTTATTATTTTAGTCAGCCTATGGAAGTGTTTTGACCTGATAATGCTTTTGGGAAATGAAAATTCATGACATTCTAGTATCCCAAGAGCTATAGATATGATGTGTCAAGTGAACATTTGTGTGAATATATTTTAGGAAAGTTGCAAGGTGGAAATTATGATAACAGGTCTCTGGGGGCTGACACGGAGTTGGTTTTTCATTTTAAAATATCTTTTTAACAAGAAACTTCGTTAAACAAGCAGTTAGCTTTAGAAATAGAAATACTGTGGGATTATTTGAATAATATGATACTCTTATTCAGACAAATGTATAAATGATATGAATGTTTTTCCAACTGAGTGAGAAAGTCAGTCAGTCATCAGGACAGCTGAGATGCTCTAATAGATAAAGCTCAATGTAGAATTTTCTTCACAGGACTGCAGGTTAGCATTTCCCTTTAATATTTCATTGGTAGCCAGACGATGGGCTTCACTGATGATCAGGAAAGGCTATATGTACATGAACATACCTTTGTATTTTTTAAATACTACTGACATCACTATTATATTTTTATTATCTCTTGTAAAGGCCCACCAGCCAGATTTCTCTCTGGACTCAGAAAAATAATTTCTGGAGAATGTTTATGTGTGTGTATTTTTTTAAGTTCAGTATGTTAAAATGGAAAGAATATAGGATTTAAGACAAAAGCCTGAACTTTAATCGAAACCTTGGGTTAAAGAT